TTGTCTTCATGATAGAAATGACCCTGGAGAGCACATGATAGAATTTTGCAAGACCAACAACTTATTCTTTACAGATACCTTTTTTCAACGGCATAAATGGTGAGTATACACGTGGACCTCACCAGATGGAAAACACTGGAATCAAATCGACTACATCTGTGGAAAGAGATGATGGAAAAGCTCAATATCATTGTCAGAACAAGGCCAGGGGCCGACTAGGGAACAGACCATCAGTTGCTCATATGCAAGTTCAAGCTGAAGAGATACTATAAAATCCCTAATTCAGAAAATATTGCCTGGCTGCATCCCTCTCTTATTTATATAGCAGTTTTTTTCTGTGTACTTTTTGTTATCTCATGGAATCCCTTGCATATCCTTGGAGGTAGCTTGTGTAGATATTATCGCAATTTTATTGATGAGGAACCTGAGATGGAAGTATACACCCACACTTGGGGACGTGAAGATAGAGCAGGCACATACGCTGCTCTGAAAGGAGACCATAGTCTAGTGTCAGGATAATATAGGTACAGGAGTGCAAGTAGAAAGACATGTGGTACAGATAAAAAATATACATGTATGGAAATTTAGAGAAGGGATGGATTAGTGGGAAGTAATTTGTGAGGAGGAGGGAATCTGAGAAAGCTTTTTGAGGAGGTGATCTTGGCCCATCTTGGAGCTGACAACGTTGTAGAGTTTCTTTTCAGGGTCTAGATATAGGGCAAATGACAGTGGTCTCAATGCTGTGCTCCAGTTGGTCCCTTTTATTGGTTTTTCATAGTTTTATAACCCAGACTGTGTAAATTCCTTTTTGTTATCCTGCCATCATATTTATAATAAATCTTAACTTTCTTTTAAAATCTTGCTGACTGTTTAATAAAAAATATATTATAGTCTTTGAATTTTATAAATAAATGATTATTTTACTTCACTAAAATAAAAATTGTAATAAGCTTTTTTTTTTCTATTGGGAAGATAAACCAATAAATAGACATATGAGCTATCTTATAGTTCATTTTTATAGTGGTGTTTTTTTTTTAAAAACTATAACTGTCTAATTTGCTAAAAATAAACATCTGGATTGTTATAACTGTTATTAAATCAAGGAGTAAGAGGACAGTTTCAAGGACAGTGGATTTATTTTTAGAACAAAGGAATAAAGCTGTATGACTGGCAGCCAGATAAAGGGGCCAACTCTATTAGGATGTGCTGGCTTTTTTCTTTTCCCACAACATCTGTCTCAGATTATTATATATATACCTACTCCCATAAAGCATCCTCAGAAGTCATGAAGATATGACAAACCTTTATGATTGATACAATTTGAGACAGTTGTTTTAAGTTAGTGGTTTTTATTGAAATATATAATTTTTAATAAAATGAAGTTTATTATTTTCAAATGCAGTACATATTTAAAACAGATATAAGTGCAAAGAAATATGATTATATTTGTTCTTTTAAATACCTAATAAAATTTAAAACATACCTATGTTTTGTCCTACCAGTTCCATGTCTGGTAACTTCTACATGTGTACTGACAGAAGTGCACAAAAATATCTGAAAGAATGTTGGTTGTGACATTGTTTGATACCCAAAACACAAACAAAAAAAGTGGAAATAATCTAAAAGCACATTAGTGCAGGACTGTTTTAAGTGAATTGTGGTTCATACTTATAATAGAATATTATGCAGTCATTGAAAGAATGAGGTATTGGCATAGATGCCCAAGTTACTAAGGAAAAAAAAAATCAAGAGGCAGAACAGTGTGCATAGTGTAAAACCATTTGTGTACTGAAAATTATATCCATATATTTATGTATATAGACATTTACTTGAATATATATAGACTATTCCTGACGGGACACAAAATCTGTTAAAAATGCTTACTTCTTAGGAGGCAACTGCAGCGTAAAGAGTGTATGAGGGATGTATTTTACTTTTCATCATGTACCCTCTGAATTCTTAGAATTTTCACTGCAAGTATGTATTGTTTTCTTTTAATGGTAAATGATTAAAAAAAAACTAATTACAAAGTGAAAGGAAAATGTATTAAATTTATTTTAATAAATTTATATAAAGTAAGGAAGCCCTTTAATGTTAAAACCTTCATCCTGGATTAAGAAATATTTCCAGGAATATTAAAGAAAAACATTATTTTAGCTCTTAGTTTAAATAATTACTAATATATGGTAAGTAATCCCTGGAAAACATCATAATGCAAAATTAATTTCTACTGTTATTTAGAAGAATTACAAATATCACTATTTGAGAGCCTCGAATTTTGAATTCTGTTAGTCCAAATTGACAAGATTTTTTCCCTGGTGTTTATGCTTCTCTTGAAGTGTCATAGAAACATTTGATAATGATTCAACCATATTGAGCTCTTTACTTCATTTGCAGTGTTATGTCCTGACCATATGCTGTTTTTGGACTGACTCTTGGTTTTCAGAATCAGAAATTAGAGAAAGGTTGTTTTCTATTATCTAATCATTTATCTACCTCTCCCTCAATGTAATGGAGGATTGTCTTCAAAAATGAATTATTTGTCCTTTTTATGATTTAATATTACATGTCTCTAGAATTGATATCTTAAAGAAAACTTTAGTATTTTTATTTCTAAAACATTTCTTATATGGGAATGGTCCAAATTATGCCACCTTTGCTCACTTATGTGATATTTCCTCTGCACACAATAAATTTTTAACTTCTATTGTTCCCTATACCGATACCATAATTCTTGTGACTATCCTTTGTTTGTACTTCTCTTTGTTTCCACTATCTTTATGTCTACTGTTCACTGTGAGTCTTAGACCTCTGACAGAGAAGTTCCAACTGAGTTATTTAGTCATTGTCCAATATAGGGAAACACTTTTAGACAGAGGGCTGTTTCTGTCCAGGTACCTCATTGGCTACTGGCCTTTAGTTTCTGACCAATAAAAAAGCTAGGGTGTTGATTCTTGGTCAGTCAGATGTGTGCAGGAAATGAAGGTCATTTGAAACATAGCATAGCAACCTCTTATGCACTTAGAAACTAATCTTAGGGATAGTTCCCTAGTCCAGGAGTCCAACAGAGGTATTTTAAACTTCTTTTAAATTTACCGCCAGCCCTATTAAAGAAACAAACAAAAAACAAAACAAAATTTTCAAAAATGAGCCTAGAGGAAAGCTTAGATTTGCATTGCATAATTCACAGCTTCTAGGGGTAAGGCCACAGGCTTTGTGTTCACACAAAGTTTGTGTCCCTACTTGGCAACTTCCTAGGTGGACAGCCTTGGCCCCCAGAGATTGTGTCCTCTTACGTATAATAGGAATAATAATATTTTTCTTTGTAGAATTGACGTGAGGATTTAATCTGATTGTGAATGTATATTGAGTAAAAAAATTATGGACACACAGTAATTATAATAGTAGCAAACATTTATTACTTAACAAGTGCCAAGCGTTATTCTAATACTTTATGCATATTAGCTCATTTAATCCTCATGACAACCCTATGAGATTATTATCCCCATTTAAGAGAGAAAACTGAGACACAGGGAGGTTAGATGACTTGTTTGAGGTCACAGGGCTAGCAAGTGGAATGGCCAATAGCTCATGCTGTTAACATCTACACTATACTGACCCTCCCCATGAAGTTGGGGCCTCACTTTCTAGTGCCTGACTTTATTTCTGCTCCCAACTCCCTTTGGCCTTCTGGGTTCCATCCCACTTCCGACCTAGATATGAAGTACCACCCTAAGTTGTCCTCTGTCATAGCCAACCACAATCATTAATTTATGATGCTCAGTGACACTCTTGGGAATTTGGAGGTGTCTCAGTATTAGAGATTGCATAGTGTACTGTCTTAACCTGCTCTCCACCCCCTCTCCAAATCTGAGATTTACCAGATCCTTCTCATTATCTCATGAGGAACAGCAGTCTCAGGACTGACTGTCTTCATTGGAATTCCAGTGAACAAAATGTCTTCGGCCTTGTTACATCATTATGTCTTCCTGTTCTCACCCCTTTACTTGTCAAGCGCTGACTATTTTAAGTAAGGTTGGTTCCCTACACTCCTATCAGTCGTTCCCATTTCGCTTGTTCATATCTCAATGAGTCAGTTTAATTAGCAGCTTTCAGCTACTGAAGAAATAGGAAATTAGTAAGGGAATGGGCAAAGGTCATTCAGAGCAGTGCTTCCCAAACTTTAATGTGAATAGGAATCACCTGGTGATTTGTTAAAATGCAGTTTCTGACTCGGTAGGTCTGGGGTGAGGCCTGAGATTCTGAATGTCTGCAAGCTCCTGGTGATGTCAGTGCCCTAGCTCTGCAGACCATACTGTGAATAGCAAGTATTTAAATACTAAAGAATACATAGTCCTTTTATAGGCACACTTAATCCAAAGACATGACTCTCTGTTAATGGAATTTAGTTAATGTGACTGGCTGCTAGAAGAAAGTGCACAATTTCAAACCCTACCCCTAGACTCTGCTTACCAGTAAGGCCATTCCTGAGCTGAGAAAAAGAATAGTATCAACTTGTCTGTCTGGCAGTCAAGTTTTGACATAAGCAGTGTAAAAACAGGCATTTTCCTCCATCAGTTTAACTTTAGGTGACTTTCCAATGATTTATATTCATTTTTACTTAGCTTTATGTGAAAGAGTATTGCCTTGCTGCTACTAAAGGTTGAGTCACTCATGACTAGGGAAATAGATGATTACACTCACCCAGGTGCAAGGGCCACACGTGTATTTCAGTATCTGTTTCTTTGGTCCTTTAACATCATCTGCATAAAAGGAAACTTAAGTCAACTTTTATTTCCGTGCCTTTTGATTTGGAGTCAGCTCACTAGGAGAGTTTATGAATAATTCTGTTTGAAATGGTTTGATAATGCTAATGTGAATAATGAAACACTGTACAGAGCTTTACATATGGAAGTGCAGTGTGGGCAGAAACCTGTGAAATGATGTGATTGACTCTCCTTGTGATGGCAAAGGTTTATGTTCTCTATGTTTATTCTCAGGGAGGGGAACACTGCTACTACCAGGGCCATATTCGAGGAAACCTTGCCTCATTTGTTGCACTGTCGACATGCCATGGACTTCAGTAAGTGTTCAGAAAACTATTTGTTTAGTTAATTTTTTCAGCATTATTTTCTTCTTTTTAATGCACTGTAATTGAAATCTATATTTTATGTCAAGAAATAATTTTAAATCACTGATGGGTCTGATTTTTTTCTATTTTAGTGGCTCATAAATCCAGCAGATTTTTAAATTAGAATTGCAATAACCAGGGGCTTTGGAATTATATGATACTCTATAGTGATATTCGAAGGGTTTTTTGAAATTTTTTTATTGTGCTTTAAGTGAAAGTTTACAGTTCAAGTCAGTTTCTCATACAGAAATTCATACACACATTGCTGTGTGACCAAAGCTGCTCTCCCTATCATGTGACAGCACACTCCTCCTTTCCACCCCAGATTTCCTGTGTCCATTCAAACAGCTCCTGTCACTTTTTGCCTTCTCATCTCTCCTCCGGACAGGAGCTACCCATTTAGTCTCATTGAGCAAACTGAGCTAAGAAGCACTCTCTTCACGAGTATCATTTTATGTCCCATAGTCCAGTCTAGTCTTTGTCTAAAGAGTTGGCTACGGGAATGGTTTCGGTTCTGGGCTAACAGAGAGTCCGGGGGCCATGTCTTCCAGGGTCCCTCCAGTCTCAGTCAGACCATTAAGTCTAGTCTTTTTACTAGAATTTGAGTTCTGCACCACACCTTTCTTCTGCTCCGTCAGGAACTCTGTTGTGTTCCGTGTCAGGGCGATCATTGGTGGTAGTCGGGCACCACCTAGTTCTTCTGGTCTCAGGCTGTTGGAGTCTCTGGTTTATGTGGCCCTTTCTGTCTCTTGGGCTAATATTTTCCTCGTGTCTTTGGTGTTCTTCATTTTCCTTTACTCCAGGTGGGTTGGGGCCAATCGATGTATCTTAGATGGCCGCTTGCTAGCTTTTAAGACCCCAGATGCCACTCACCAACATGAGATGCAGAACGTTTTCTTAATAAACTCTATTATGCCGATTGACCTAGATGTCCCCTGAAACCATAGTCCCCAGACCCCTGCCCCTGCTACTCTGTCCCTTGAAGTGTTTGGTTGTATTCAGGAAACTTCTTAGCTTTTGGTTTAGTCCAGTTGTGCTGACTTCCCCTGTAGTGTGTATTGTCCTTCTCTTCACCTAAGGTAATTCTTGTCTACTGTCTAGTTAGTGAATAATCCTCACCCTCCCTCCCCACCCTCATAACCATCAAAGAATGTTTCTTTCTGTGTTTAAACCTTTTCTTGAGTTCTTATAAAAGTGGTCTTATACAATATTTGTCCTTTTGCGATTGACTAAGTTCACTCAGCATAATGCCCTCCAGATTCCTCCATGTTATAAGATGTTTCTTGAATTCCTCATTGTTCTTTGTTGTTGCTTAGTTACTGTGTGAATATACCATAATTTGTTTATCCATTCATCTTTTGATAGGCAGCTAGGTTGTTTCTATCTTTTTGCTATCATGAAGAGTGCTGCAATGAACAAGGGTGTGCATGTATCTATTTGTGCGACAGCTCTTACTTCTCTAGGATATATTCCAAGGAGTGCAATTGCTGGATGGAATGGTACTTCTATTTCCAGCTCTTTAAGGAAGCGCCAAATCAATTTCCAAAATGGTTGTACCATTTTACATTCCCACCAACAGTGTGTAAGTATTCCAGTCTCTCCACAAAGTCTCCAACATTTATTATTTTGTGTTTTTGGGATTAATGCTAGCATTGTTGGGGTGAGATGGTATCTCATTGTAGTTTTGACTTGCATTTCTCTGATGGCTAATGATCTTGAGCATTTCCTCATGTGTCTGTTAGCCACCGGAACGTCTTCTTTGGCGAAGTGCCTGTTCATATCCTTTGCCCTTTTTTTAAATGGGTTATTTGTCTTTTTGTTGTTGAGGCTTTGCAGTATCTTGTAGATTTTAGAGATTAGATGCCAGTCAGATTTGTCGTAGCCAAAAATTTTTTCCCTGTCTGTAGGTTGTCTTTTTACTCTTTTGGTGAGTCTTTTGATGAGCATAAGTGTTTGATTTTTAGGAGCTCCCAGTTGTCTAGTTTCTCTTCTGGTGTTTGTGCATTTTGAGTAATGTTTTGTGTTCTGTTTATGTCATGAATTAGGGCTCCTAGCATTGTCCCTATTTTTTCTTATTGTTTTTTATTTTATATTTAGTCTTTGATCGATTTTGAGTTAGTTTTTGTGCATGGTATGAGGTTTGGGTCTTGTTTTCAGTTTTTTGCAGATGGATATCCAGTTATGCCAGCACCATTTGTTGAAGAGACTGCCTTTTCCCCGGTTAACAGACTTTGGGCCCTTGTCAAATATCAGCTGCTCATAGGTGGATGAATTTATGACTGGATTCTCAATTCTGTTCCATTTGTCTATGTATCTGTTGTTGTACCAGTACCAGGTTGTTTTGAGTACCATGGCGGTATAATAGGTTCTAAAATCAGGTAGTGTGAGGCCTCCTACTTTGTTCCTCTTCTTGAGTAATGCTTTACCTGTCTGGGGCCTCTTGCCTTTCCATATGAAGTTTGTGATTTGTTTCTCCATCTCATTAAAAAATGCTGGTGGAATTTGGATTGGGATTGCATTGTATCTGTAGATTGCTTTGGGTAGAATTGACATTTTCACAATGTCGAGCCTTCCTATCCATGAGCAAGGTATGTTTTTCCACTTATGCAGGTCTTTTTTGGTTTCTTGCAGTAGTGTCTTGTAGTTTTCATTGTATAGGTCTTTTACATCTCTGGTTAGATTTATCTCTAAGTTATCTTCTTGAGGACTATTGTAAATGGTATTGATTTGGTGATTTCCTCTTCGAAGTTCTCTTTGTTGGTATAGAGGAATCCAACTGATTTTTATATGTTTATCTTGTATCCTGAAACTTTGCTGAAATCTTCTATTAGTTGCAGTAGTTTTCTTGTGGATTCTTTGGGGTTTTCTGTGTATGAGATCATATCATCTGCAAACAGAGATACTTTTACTTCTTCCTTAACGATTTGGATGCCCTTTATTTCTTTTTCTAGCCTAATTTCTCTGGGTAGGACCTCCAGCACAATGTTGAATGTGAGTGATGATAGAGGGCATCCTTGTCTGGTTCCTGTTCTCAAAGGGAGTGCTTTCAGACTCTCTCCATTTAGGATGATGTTGGCTGTTGGCTTTGTATAAATGCCCTTAATTATGTTGAGGAATTTCTCTTCTATTCCTATTTTGCTGCGAGTTTTTATGATTAATGGGTGCTGGACTTTGTCAAATGCCTTTTCTGCATTGATTGATAAGATCATGTGGTTCTTGTCTTTTGTTTTATTTATGTGATGGATTACATTAATTGTTTTTCTAATGTTGAACTATCCCTGCATACTTAATATGAATCCCACTTGGTCATGGTGAATTATTTTTTGATATGTTGCTGAATTCTATTGGCTAGAATTTCATTGAAAATTTTTGCATCTCTGTTCTTGAGGGATATTGGTCTGTAATTTTCTTTTTTTGTGTTGTCTTTACCTGGTTTGGTATCAGGGTTATGCTGGCTTCATAGAATGAGTTTGGGAGTATTCCATCCTTTTCTATGCTCTGAAATACCTTTAGTAGTAGTGGTGTTAACTCTTCTCTGAAAGTTTGGTAGAATTCTCCAGTGAAGCCATTTGGGCCAGGGCTTTTCTTGGGGGGGAGTTTTTAAATTACCTTTTCAATCCCTTTCTTTTTTATAGGTTTATTTAGTTGTTCTACCTCTGTTTGTGTTAGTTTAGGTAGGTAGTGAGTTTCTAGAAATTTGTCCATTTCCTCTAGGTTTTCAGATGTGTTTAGAGTACAGTTTTTCATAGTATTCTGTTACGATTCTTTTAATTTCAGTTGGGTCTGTTGTGATATTGCCCATCTCATTTCTTATATGGGTCATCTGCTTCCTCTCCAGTTTTTCTTTTGTCAGTTTGGCCAGTGGTTTATCGATTTTGTTGATCTTTTCAAAGAAACACATTTTGGTCTTATTAACTCTTTCAATTGTTTTCCTATTTTTGATTACATTTAATTCTGCTCTAATATTTAGTATTTGCTTTCTTTGGTGCCTGAGGGCTTCTTTTGCTACTATCTTTCTATTTGTTTGAGTGGTAGGGTTAATCTTTTGATTTTGGCCCTTCTTTTTGGATGTGTGCATTTATTGCTATAAATTGACCTCTGAGCACTGCTTTTACTGTGTCCCAAAGTTTCTGGTAGGATGTGTTTTCATTCTCATTTGATTCTGTGAATTTCTTTATTCCATCTTTAATTTCTTCTATAACCCAGTAGTTCTTGAGCAAGGTGTTGTTCAGTTTCCATGTGTTTGATTTTTTTTCCTTGCTTTTTCTGTTATTGATTTCTACTTCTATGGCTTCATGGTCAGAAAAGATGCTTTGTAATATTTCGATGCGTTGGATTCTGTTAAGGCTTGCTTTATGGCCTGTCATGGATTGAATTTTGTCCCCCAAAAATGGGTGTATCAACTTGGCTAGGTCATGATTCCCAGTATTGTATGACTGTGTACCATTTTATAATCTGATGTGATTTCCGTATGTGTTGTAAACTCTATCACTATGATGTAATAAGATGGATTAGCGGCAGTTATATTTGATGAGGTATACAAGATTGGATAGTGTCTTAAACCAGTCTCTTTTGAGATATAAAAGAGAGAAATAAGGAGAGACACAGGGAAACCTCATACCACCCAGAAAGCAGTACTCGGAGTAGAGTGTGTCCTTTGGACCTGAGGTTCCTGTGCTGAGTTGCTTACATACCAAGGGAGGACTGATGCATCTCAAGGACCTTCCTCCAGAGCCAACAGATAGAGACAGCCTTCTCCTGACCTGATGCTCTGAATTTGGACTTATAGCCTACTGGACTATGATATAATAAACTTCTCTTTGTTAAAGCTATCCACTTGAGGTATTTCTGTTACAGCGGCACTAAGACACGGCCCAATATGTGGTCTGTTTTGGAGAATGTTCCACGTATGTTGGAAAAGAAAGTACTTGGCTGCTGTTGGGTGGAGTGTT